TTATTATTTTCACAGAAAAACCTAAGCTAATCCAAACTCTGTAGCTTGTCGGTGGAGATGACTCTTCAGATATTATGGTGCCACCTACAAACGTACGTGCGGTAAACAGTTGAAGAGCTGAAAGCGCTGTTGATTATCACGACCCGCGCCGCGTTTCACATGACGTACTCAGGGTGCAACCAACCTAAATACAATCAATGCGGTGTCCGCCATCGCTTGCGGTCATTTCGCCAACAATGCTTTAAGTGGAACTTTGGATTTGCAGGCACAAAATTGGTTATGGCCTTCCTACAGTAGACACTCGTAGCTTCATTCTCTACTCTTTACTTTCTCTTGTCGATGCATGCAAAGGCAAAGGTCCATTTTGTGTTGCGATTCCTGATGAGTGAGGTAGAAGTCATAAATTAATCAGTAACGCCCTCCATTTTTCAAATATGTTATATTTATTAACTTCTGAACACGCTTTATTTTAGTTCACTGAAACAATATGCTGGCTAATGAATAAGATGCATTAGTCTAGTGATTTCGCTTTTGCCCTAAGATTTCTGCTTTTTGTAATCTTTCGATGTACGGTGATTTAACTTTAACTTTTTTCTGTGAAGCAATTGTAGTTAGTTCAGTTCAGTTGGATCGTTCAGTGTACAAAACTACTTTTAGCAGGGCTTCTCTGAGCATGACTCGTATTTCCTTGGTAGAACAGTGCAACTAATGCGCCAGCCTGTTTCGTTTGGTTCAGACAAAGAAACAAACGAAGAGACATACTGTCTAATTAGCTTTCATATGTCGCGTTTGATTGCCACGTTGCATCCATGACAATTTTCATATACATTTTTATCTATAATTTTTACTTTAGCAATCTTGCTCTCTTTTGCGGTGATGGCTCCCGCTGCAATAAGTTGCGGTTCGCACTAAATCGAGTCGGCCTGTTCAAAATCGTTATCTGCATGTTGTGGCAAATTTAACTGTTTCGCTGGCTAATCCCTGTCCATATTGTCCGCAGCATTTTCCAAGTATTTCATAGCTGTTTTGCATTACTCACATGGAAAATAAAAAACTGATAAATAGAACTCTAGGGTTTTGCAAAATTCTGATGG